GTGGAGGTCAATGGCAGCAAAGTGGGCCCTGACGGCACCCCCTACGTCACTGTGCTCAAGGTGGGGACCCACCAGGCCGGGGTGGGGTGGGTGGGGGGAGACGGCAAACAATGGTGACGATGCGTTCACGGTTGCTCCCCTGACTCTCTGCCTGGGAGAAGTGGCCACCCCCGACAGGCGACCGGAAGCTGCAATCCACACACCACCACCCCCCTCGGGGGCTGGGCTCCACTCACAAGCACCGTGGCTTTGCTGACTGAAATGGCCACCGTGGCAGAGGCCGGCAGCATGTCCTGGCCGGGCGGGGGTGGGGGTGGTGGGCGTGGGAGAAGATGGTGGGTGAAGGGAACTGGCCCCAGTGGCGTGTGTGTGGCATGGACTCCCACCCTGCCCGTCTCCCCGTCTTCAGCTTTGTTCCCACGGCCGCCCAGGGTAGGGGCCGCTGCGGGAGGGAGGCATGGATTGCGACACTCCTGAATCCAAAGAGCGAAACATCTGTTGGAAACAAAAGGGGCTGCTGGGGGCGGTTTCCGGGAGGCTGAGAGGGGAGGCCGGCAGTATTGGGGGAGGGCCTCGTGTGCTTACACACGTGCTCTGGATGGGCGGTATTGCGGTGGGCCTCAATGAGACCCTGGGGGTGGCACGGCCGGACCAGCAACCCCAACCCAAGCAGATGACCTCTACGGGGCCCTGTATGGTGGGGCACTGATGCAGGGAGGGTCACTCCTGTGATACCACGAGTCCCCTGCCGGTCTTCTCCTGCCATAGCTGGCACCTGCAGCAGCGCGTCCTAAGGGGTGGGGTCTCGGGAAGTGGCCGCCTGGCTGGGCCAGGAGAGCAGGGCACTCACACCTGGCAGGCCGCAGGGTGTGACTGAGCCGGGTCTCTTGTCCCTGCAGTCCTGGATCAGTGAGAGTTCGGAGGCCGACGTGCGCCTCCGCCTGGCCAATGTGTCGGAGCGGGACGGGGGCGAGTACCTCTGTCGAGCCACCAATTTCATAGGCGTGGCTGAGAAGGCCTTTTGGCTGCGTGTTCACGGGCCCCCAGCAGGTAACGAGTCTGTCCCACGCCTGCCTGGCACGCGGAGTTCCGGCTCCAAGGCCCTGGCCACGCGCCTGTCTGCCTGCCCGCCCGCACGCCTGCCTGCCCACCCGCATGCCCGCTCTGGTCCTGCTCACCCCGCCCCGCCCAGCACCAGCTCTGCACCTCCAGTGTGCCCAAGCCCCTTCAAGCCATTGCAGCCTTGCCGAACCTGCTCCCCGCCCCCCCCAGGAAACCCCTGGTGCCAGCACGGCCGAGCCTGAGCCGTCTATGAGCATGACCTGCCTCTCTCTCTCTCTCTTTCTCTCTTTCTCTCCCTCTCCCTCCTTTTCCTCTCCCTCTCTATCTGCCCATTGGCTCTGCTGCCTGCTCACCCACTATGTCTGTATGTCTGTCCTTCTGTCTGACTGTCCGCTGCGTTGTCCTGCTCCGCCCGATCACCGAGCCAGCCCCTAACTCTGCATGTCCCTCATGCACCAGTGCACTGCTGGGCGTGCGCCTGCCGCTCACTTGGGACACAGGACTCGTCGGTGGAGGGCCTTCAGCTTCGGGGCTCGTGCTGCCGCCCAGAGGAGGCAGTGGCGGCTGAAGTTGTGGTGGTGGTGGTGTGGTGGCGGTGGCGCCGGCGTTTTTCTTGCAGCCCGGTGGACCGTGGCGGGGCCTGGCCACGTCCAGGATAGCCCATAGGGCATGGGCGCTCGCCTATCCGGCTCTCTTGTCCTTGTAGACGGCGGGCGCCAACACCACGGACAGGGAGCTGGAGGTGCTCTCCCTGCGCAATGTCACCTTCGAGGATGCGGGGGAATACACGTGTCTGGCGGGCAATTCTATCGGGTTCTCTCATCACTCTGCGTGGCTGGTGGTGCTGCCAGGTATCTGTGCCTAGGTGCTGCTGGCTCGCTGCTGCTTCGGGCTTCTCGGCGTGGGGCTTCTCGGCGTGGGGCGCTCCCTGGGGCATGCCACAACCGCCGGGCAAAGGCAGGGGGACCCCAGCGGCTACTGGCCGCCCCGTCCTCCTCCAGCCTGACCCTGTCCCAGCTGGGTCCCCACAGCTCTGCCTGGCGGATTTGGCCTCTCCAGGCTGCCTGGGTGGCATTGTGGGCTTTCCTGTCTCGGCTGGGTTCCTCCTGCTCTGGCTCTGCCACCTCTAGCTCCCTGCTCACAGGCATTTCCCACCATCAGAACTCCCGCCTCCGCCCGCTCGCCTGTCCCAAGGGGCCCAGGCGAGCTTCCCACTGGTGCCAAGGCAGCGGCTGCCCCGAGGGCCCGACACCCGTGTGTTTTTGCAGCTGAGGAGGAGCTGGTGGAGGCGGACGAGGCGGGCAGCGTGTACGCAGGCGTCCTCAGCTACGGGGTGGGCTTCTTCTTCATCCTGGTGGTGGTGGCTGTGACCATCTGCCGGCTGCACAGCCCGACCAAGAAGGGCCTGGGCTCCCCCGCCGTGCACAAGGTCTCCCGCTTCCCGCTCAAGCGACAGGTAACAGAAAGTAGATACCAGGTTCTGAGCCAGGCCCCCCCCCTCCGTCCCCCCACCAGCGAGATGACTGGAGCTGGCATCCAGTTCACCCTGGACCTCTGGCCACGAGGCTCTCCACCTCGGTGGGGTGGCCGTTTTTGTGTGCGACGAAAGATAACTTTTTAAAGAGTATTCACGCCCCCTGAGGTCCAGCCATGTGCCTTCCCAGCCCGGTGCCCTGCCCCCTGCTGACCCACTCTCACCTGTTCTGCACCCCCTGAGGTGCCAACTTGCCTCTGCCCCCACCAAGCAGGTGTCCTTGGAGTCAAACTCATCCATGAACTCCAACACGCCGCTAGTACGCATAGCCCGGCTGTCCTCCGGGGAGGGCCCCACACTCGCCAACGTCTCGGAACTTGAACTGCCCGCCGACCCCAAGTGGGAGCTGTCTCGGGCCCGGTCAGTGAGGGCTGCGTGGGGTGGGACAGACAGGATGAGAATGGTGTGCCAGGGGGCACCAGGCTTGGGAGCGGGCCTGGCATGGGGGGTGGGTCACCAGTAGGTACGCGTGGTGTGTGGAAGATGGAGGGGCAGGGGTGGGGCCATCGGGAGGGCTCTGCGGGGACTTCTAGGAAGGGCTAGGGAGGACTGAGCGGGGGGTGAGCTTCAGTGGCTGGAGGGCTCACCTGCCCAATGCGCTGCAGGCTGACCCTGGGCAAGCCCCTGGGCGAGGGCTGCTTTGGCCAGGTGGTCATGGCAGAGGCCATCGGCATCGACAAGGAGCGGACCGCCAAGCCTGTCACCGTGGCCGTGAAGATGCTGAAAGGT